AAAAAAAAATCCGACCGACTGACCGGGAATTTTGAAATCCATGTAATGCAAAACGAAAAATTAACTTTGCGTGGCCTTATTTTTAAGCTCAAATAATTAATACTGAGAGGATTCGGATTTTAAAGATTTATCACTTTCGTATAGTAATTTCCTATTAAAAAATGATATTCGTTCATGTAACAATACGATCATATTGAAAAACTGTACTAATTGGTTTAATTAGAGGACTATACATATATTTGTCACAATTAGTCGATCAAACACCCCAGCATCCCCGCTGGAACAGTTAATGGGGTTTATTCGGATTTATGGGAATTATGTGACGCAACAAAGTTTCAAAATTAAACTTGGGAAGATTGAAGAATAAGTACCCCCACATCACATGATTAAATTACTCGGCCTAAATTAGAGTTAGGGTTAGGGTTAGATGGAGTATACATACATTCGGTACGGTTCGGTAGCTTTGTCGGTACCGTATGAACAGTATGGTGATTACCGGTACTATAATAAATGTAATTCATGCGTACTACGTACGTACGTACGTACGTTGTATGTGTAACCAATAAATACTTATTTATGTTGGATGATAAATTAATCGATGATAAATTAATCGATGACATACACAATCAATATAAGAAAATGCAAATTGCAAATCTAAACTTATTTTATCCAACAATTTCTAAAGAAATAATGGATTCAAAATTAAAAATTGAAATTGATACATTCGATACTAGTTCAAGAAATAACAATACTTCAAATCAACCCGAAGTAATTGTGATATCCGATACAGACGATGAGCTGCTAGTAATTTTTTTATTTTAATAATAATAACGATAAATTAATATTGTATAATAATAAGTTTATATTATTTAAAGAAATCAACGTCAAGTTCATTTATTCGATATTATGAAGTATTATTTGCACTATTGCTGTGGTTTGGTATTTGATTACAAATAATTTAGAAAAAAAATTAATAAGCGATTTTATAAATAGGATTTACAAATTTCCAGCAGCTTTGAAAGTGAATATAATAGCGATAATAGCTTAGACGACTGTATATCGATAGATAATTTAAACGATAATGATATACTTGAAGATGGTTTAGAAAATAAAGATAACTATGAGGTATATGTTGTAATTATTTAATTTAATATTAATGTATATAATTTATATGTACGTAGTAACTAATTATGGTTATTTTAATTACGTAGCATCAACCAACATTTGCCAAATTTGGTCGAACACTAACCGTCGATCAAGTTGAATATTATCTTGAATTTCAGGAATATCCGAAGACTTCTTTAACGGGTGTAGCAAGTGTTTATAATGTTTCAGGCTGGAATTCTGATGATGCTAAAGAAACATTTGGAATTTCCAATATCCAATATGCTCATGGAGATCCTGGCAATATTCGATCTATTAAAAAATGTCCATTCTTAGGTGTACCAGTTCAAAAAACTTATCGATCGTGTCATAGTGTAAAAGTGTGTGAATTTGGTTCAACTACTCTTAATATTGAACACACATCGGTCGATTTTGAAAATCAATTATACAAAAAAATCTTTGATGCAAATGAATTTTCTATTAATACATTTACACTAAAGTAAGTAAATAATAATATTTAAAATTTTTATTATTTTTAATTAAAAATTCTTTACAATTTTAGCACATACGGTCAAGCTCATAATACTCCATGTTCATATATTGATCCAATTACTAATATTCGTTGTAATGGAGGTCCTATACTTAAAGAATATAAAAAGGTATAAAAAAATTAATATAGTTTGTTCTCATTATAACAGACTTCGTTATAGTAAATACCCCATTATGATAAAGTAATTTATAATGAGGGTAGACTATATATACAAGCAAGTTTTGATACAAGAAAATTATCGAGTCTAGCCAAAAATTTTCTTATTTCTTATATCAAAAGTATTTATTAAATATTTCTTATATTAAATTACTTATATTTTTAATTTTAGATCGATAATATATCAACTATTCAAAAGTTTATTGGATGTCAAAAATATCAATTTGGTCAGAAAGGCCATCGTTATATTGCAATTAGCCAGCGTGTTAATTTAGAATATCTTGAACAATTATTTCAAAGCTATACTTATTGTTCTGACGGAATTAGTAAAAAGGTATAATTAACTATAAGATTTATTTAATTTATTAACTTATAAAGATTTATTTAATTTATTATTTTAATTTAATTATAGGATTATAATAATAAGCTTACTGATGAATGCTTTACAGTTTTTCCTAATTCATCTACAACAAAGTATTGTCGTGAGTATTAATTGTTTAAACTTTAATTATAATGTATTTTTATAATATATATTAAAATTAATTTATTAATTTATTGTAATATAATACATAGCGCATCTTCACAAAATGGATAATCAAGTTTTAAAAGGAAAATTAATTAATAAAGGGCATTGCCCTGTGAAATTTTATCATATTTTACCTAAAAACCTAACGGAATGTCCATTTATTGTAATAATTTCTGTTGGCATTCATAATCATCCACCTCCACCTCCAATTAAAACCCCACAAAATATAATTAATAATCTACAAAAAATTATTGAAAATGAACATGATTTAAGTCTTACAGCCCGTAAACTTCTCACAAGTAAGTTCTCTATTTTATATTATACTATTATATGTATTATATTATTTAATATTATATACTAATATAAGTTTAGGGCCAATGTTAAAACTATATCTTCAAGGACGGCCATTAAGTAGTCTTCATCCTTCATTAAATAATCAGTCACGTCTTAATTATTTAATTGAAAAAGATAAACGGTCAAAATATCCATTTGGGCAAGATATAATTGGTAATTTTTTAGTTTATACAAAATTTTACATAATCTGTTGATCTATTTTTTCAAAAGTAAATTAATTTTTTGTTTATATTAGGGGTTGCACATGAGTTATTAAAACAGAAAGAATCATCAGATCCCTATATTCGCTCAGTTAGTAAGTACCGAAAATTAAAATAAAAAGTAAATTGTGGATAAAAAAATAAAATGTAGCAAATTTAATTTAGGAATTCTTGACAATGGTCAATATCTTGTTTTATGTGCTCGGAAAGAACAAACTGAATTACTTTCTCAAGCATTGTATGTTGAAATCGATATGGCGTTTAAAAGGGTTCATGGTATTACAAATGAATGGGAAATTTGTGCATATGCTAATCGTTATCAAAAAAGTAAGTCTTAGCATAACTATCTGTTTGAAATTATAATTTATTTAATATTTTCATGTGAAGCTTAAATAAAATAATATATTTTTTTTATAGCATTAGTTTTTGCACGAATTTTTACAAATTTTCAATCAGCTAAGGCATATCAATGCTTATTTGAAGACTTATTTGATGTCATTGAAAAAGATACACAAAAGCAATTTGAATTTCAGCATATTCACGGTCGTGGATTGGGTTGTATAATTGCAGATGAGCATCAAGGGCAAGCATTTGGAAAGTAATATTTAATAATATATAAATAAATTATTTTATAATTTATTAATCTTTTTTTTAAAAAAAATAGGGTTTGGACAATATCTTCATTCGAAATATAGCCATTTGTCATGTGAAGAACATTTAAAGCATATTTATAAATTATGCCAAGTTCATTTTAATCGGTAAGTAATTTAATATTTATATATATATAAATTATATATTTTATCAATTACTAATTAGAATTATATTGTAGGAATATTCGAAATAAAGCTGTATCCGATAAAACAAAAGAATTAATGTATTCTATTACTAAATTAGATACTAAAGAACAAGTATTAAACGTGTTAGAAAAAATTAAAGAATCGGGTGAACAAGAAGCAACAGGTTTTTTATTTATAATTACTATATATAATTTTTAGATTGGATTATATATAATTTAATATAATTGAAAAACAGACTGGGTTAAAAATAAGCATAAACCATGGATATTGGCTGGACTTTCGATAGCATTCACTAAAATGAAAGTTGATATATGGAATCAAACCCCAAATAATACTAATATTAGCGAATCATCACATGCAAATATAAATCAGGATGGTCGATCTTTAACATTATTGGCAGCAATACATCGGTATGTATTGGTATATAGCAATAGTTTTAAATCTTTATATGTATGTACATATATATTTAAACCATTTTTTTAATTATATAGAGGTGATGATTTTGATAAACGGCAATGGCATTCAGCAACAATATATGAACAGTATAATATACATGAATCATACAGAAATAAATCTGAATTAGCCCGTTTAACAAAGAATGCAAAAAGAAGTCGTAAGTTTGAATTTTTTAAGAATTTATCCAATAATAATAGCAGTATTATGCAAAATTATTGTAAATTATGAAAATCACATATTCCGAATAACAAAAAAAAATAAAATAAATAAAATAATAGAAAATGATAATTCAAAACCTAGCTTGGCGCACTGACAAAAAAAATATTATGAGTGCAATTTTACATATAAGAATTCTAAATCTAATACTAATTAAATAATAATTCTGATTAAATATCCAGAAAATTTGCACTGCACTCTGACGCTGTTATAATTAATCTAATCATTTGTACATTATTTAGAAAAGCGAAAAAATAAAGACAAAGAACCTGCCTCAAGATCTACATCACGAAAAAAACCTAAAACCCAAAAATTAAATGATGAAAAAAATGAAGATTTATTTCCTACATCAACATCTACTCCTACAACACAAGAACAAAACAACTATATCGAATGGGAAAGTAAAAAACTTGAATTACAGCGAAAAAATTTAGAAATTCTTAAAGAAGAAATTGCATTGCGGGAAAAACTCAATAGTTTAAAGCAATTAAGTAATTAATTGTATAGCATTATAATTTAACATAATAAAATAGTATATTAAATGTTATTTCTTTTTATATAAAAAGGTAGCATTCTGGTTTAATAATGTTCGTGATAATTACTTGTCAAGTGTTTTAAATAATTGGTTATGCTAAATCGCAATTTTTTTCAAAAAAAAAAACTTGGCATATAAGCATAAATAAATAAAAATGTAATGCATATATATGTGCATATTTCGAAATGCATAAATTCATATTGACTTCAAAATAAATCGCTATAATAATTTTATAAAAATTCAAAAATTGTATTATTTATATATCGTATAACACTTTATGAAAATAATATCAATCGCTTGAAAAAATTGTATCGCTCATCATATAATATACTGTATTGTACGATTGTACGATTATACATAGTAATATAGTACCGTACCATACCGTACAGTACTAATAAATTAATTGTACCGTACATAATCTCTGTATCCCGGGGTTAGATGATAGTATAGTTTAGGCCGATTTGTTAGTGCGAGTAAACAAATGACGTCATTACATGATTTCATGGCAACCCGAAAATGTGTACCAGGTTGCGCTCCGGATGATCATGTGACAGTCCGGAATGAATATCCGGAAAAATTTTTGAAGTTTGATTTAGCACACGGTTAATTACATATATTCATTATGTACTTCGCATAAATATTAAAATATATACATAATAATACGTATACATTTATAAAGATTAAAAACTTTTATATTATTAATTTTGTTTATTCGCGTTAATATTTTTTGATAAATTATACTTTTTTTTTTTTGGAAGTTTTTCTTTGTTTACGTGTTTTCATTATGGTCTGGTCAGCATTTTCTTGAGAAACCTTATGCTTTCTTTGTTGTACTGATGAAGGTTGTAATTGAATTTTTGCTTCACATCGTAGTGATTCAGCCTTTATAGCAGAATTCCAAACAGTATCTTTTTTTCTCGAAAAATAACTTTATTACTTGATTTTCTTTGACAATAAAGGTTTTGGTTAGTTGTATA